TAAAATCGGAGATTATTTTCTGAACATAAATTTAATTTTTTGATAATATCAAATTTACAAATCCTATTAATTATCTATCTTGGGGGAAATCATTATCTATCTATCTATCCATCTATTAATATCCAAATTGATGTATCTATCTATCTATCTATTATCTATCTATTTTCAATTTGTCCATATCTAAAAATCTATCTATCTTATTAATCTATATATCTATCTATCATTAAATAAAATGTCCATTTTTTTATCTATTTATCTATCAATAGAATTTACAGAAAATGATCTATTTAGGAGGAATATCTCTGTTCATATATGTCTATATAAATATCTCAATCTATTCATTTATTCTAAATCAGTCTTTCATATCTATCTATCTTATCTAAATCTATCTCAAGTAACTATCTTCTATCTATCTATCTATCTAAAACAATCTGTTTATATCTAATTCAGTTTTCATATCCATCTATCTCTATAGTAATTCAATGTTAATATCTATCTAATTATATTCTATCTATCTATCTATCTATTATCTATTTATCTCATATTTTTCATTTTTATCTGTAGCTTGTCTATCTATCTGTCTCAGTCTGTTACTGTGTTATTTTTCTATCTATTATCTATTATCTATCTATCTAATCTATCTAATCTATCTTATAATTATTAATTATAATAATTAATAATCTATCTATTAAATCTATCTATCTATCTCTCGGTTTGTTATTACTATTAATAGATGAGGAGTATATAATATTGTAAATTAAATAAAAAAAGGAGATTGATTTGAAATTAAGAATATTTATGACACCTTAATCATTAGGAATCAGTAACATGTTTTTGTGCCACTATTATAATAATATATTAGAATACAATTAAAAAGTTTATTCTAAAATCAGACATTATTTTCCAAACAACCTAACATCTTCGATTATTAGTAACATCAAGTAAGATGGGAGAGTTAACAGAATTTTTGAAAGAAATCATGAAAGAACATTTATTTTATTCAAACATAAGTAATGCTCTTTAAATTCTAAAGCTGCAAAGCGCAACAGATCAACTGGGGACGCATGTTCAACTTCTCTGATGGAAGACAACATTTTTTTTTGCGAAATTTTTTTAAACTGATAGACGTCATAAAAAAGCTTTTTGATTCACCTTTCATAAAAGAATGAGATGCCCAACAAAGCAATTATGAAGCATAGGTTGATAAAATAACATTTTGAAATAAAAAATATATATATATATATATATATATATATATATATATATATATATATATGAACTGTGTGTGTGTGTGTGTGTGTGTGTGTGCATGCATTGTCTATATTTTGAGACAAGGTATTTGTACACTATTTACATTATTCGGAAAAATATGAGGTTTGAAATATATATATATATATATATATATATATATATATATATATATATTTTTTTTTTGAATTTGTAGGTCTGATGAATTTGATATTTTATATTTTCCAATGGTATAAATTATAACCATGGAATATTAGTGTTTCTTCCTTTTTTATTATATCATTACTCTGTTTTTGGACATTGAGTTCTACCTGGATTCTATCCTTTCTTGAATCTTTTTTTTTTTATACAAAATGAATATATGTATGTATATGTATGTATGTATATATATTTGCATATGTATGTAAATAAATACCGAAGCTATAATATTATCAATAAATATATATATATAATTTTAGAAATTGTCATTATTCGAGGTAAATATTTCATCATAGGCTGAAAGAAAATAATAATAGCAGACTTACATTCTATCGCAGAATTTGTGTTTGAATAACACCAACAGAGCCAAATGGTGGTTTATACGTTGCAACTGCTACCTGATCCCTTAAAAGTTATGAAGTTTCTAAAGAGATTTTGTTATCTAATGTGATCAACAATTTGAACAAGAACGGCAAAAGAATCATTTCGTTTGACTTGTGGATTTGAAATTGACAGCTATCGATGATCCCCACCGTGTTGAAAATACCCAATTTGATGGCTTCAAATGAAATAATATGGTTTTCGATTTTCCAAAGGTAAAGACACACTGAATCAAATATATAACAAGATGACTTCCAGTCCCGACCATGATGATTCAAACAATATCTAATGGTCAGAAAACGAACGTTATAATTATTATAACGCCACATACACATAGATGATCCATACATACGATGTTCAGGAAAATTTTAGATATAAGTAACTCTCTGTCAACTTTCTAACGCCGTGACATGGCTTATTTCTGTCTTTTCTTAAATATTTTCATGGCGACACACTCTGAGGAACATTTTTCCTGGTGCCCCGACTACATGAATTTAAACGTGCTGCTTGATTGGCATCTAGGTCCCACCCTTTTAATGTAAAAATAGTTAAATGCAACCGCCACTTCTACTCCAAAAGTCTTTTTTCTCGCACATTCCGAAAGTGGGACTCCCTTCTTCTTACTTGATTCCCTGATAACTGCAATCTTCAGAATTATAAATGCAACGCCAATCGCCATCTTCTGTTGCTTTGATCCCCGTTCATCTTTTTATCCTTTCCTCAATCCCCTTCCCCATACCAAGTCTTTTCTCTCACTTACACTCACTGTAAGCCCCCTGCAGGCTAGTTGCACGCTCGCTTTGATTGGAGTGACAGGCTTAAAAAATATCTGTGAAGAGACAAGAAGAATAATGACAAATAAAGAAAACTTATCTTAGTCGACGTGTTTTCGATCTATGGTCGACTTTATCAAGACCGTTTCTTTAATAAAGCCTATCATTCTATCATTGGATAATATATATATATATATATATATATATATATATATATATATATATATATATATATATATATATACAAGTAAAAGGTTTGTCCAGTAGCTAATTGATGTTACTTTCAGCTCCCGATTGCTGAGTTTCGTAGACAGACCCTCCGGGAATCACTTCATCTTTAGGATATATATATATATATATATATATATATATATATATATGAGTAAAGAGAATCTTATAATTTTGTATGGATAATCGACAAAATAATCTATCTATCTATCTATCTATCTATCTATCTATCTATCTATCTATCTAACTTTTGTGTCTGTGTGCATTTATTTATCTCTCTCTCTCTCTCTCTCTATATATATATATATATATATATATATATATATATATATATATATATATATATATATATATGATTTAGGATCAAATATGTATTAAATATGGGTTAGGATCATCATCTATGTATATCAGAATATAATTTAAATAAGTGCACATGCTCATAAATATGTGGGATATGTGGTCGTGTAATATATATATATATATATATATATATATATATATATATATATAATAAAGACATGTCTCATTCAATAATTAAGACATGTTTTTCTACTTATTTTCTATAGGATCCTCTCATATTCACGAACAAGCTTCTTAGTACCCTTATTAAAGGAAGAGAGAAAATTATGATGTTCATACATATGTATTTATTCCGTGTACTTTCGACATTAGCGTAATGTCATCGTCAGGGTGTTGTTTTTCTAAGCTAAAAGTTGTTGTAAATATATATAATATATATATATATATATATATATATATATATATATATATATATATATATATATATATATATATATATATATATATATATATATATATATATACAAGGTAAAATCTTTGTCCAGGAGATAATTGATGTTACTTTCAGCATCCTGATTGCTGAGTTTCTTAGACGGACCCTTCGGGAATCACTCTGTCCTATCTTTTTATATATATATATATATATATATATATATATATATATATATATATACTGACCCTGAAGATTCGTTTAGGTGAAACCAAGGCAGGTTTGTTTAGCACTTTAGGATTATTTTAGTTTATATTTTATATATATATAGATAATATTAGTGGAAAATATACATAAGTATAAAACCCTTCACCCCACATCTCCTAAAAATTCTCTCTTTTTTTAAATTTAGTTATCGAAGTAAATTCGCTATTTTATGTCATTAACTTTAATAATTTACTTTTTATGAATGATTCAGTGTAATATGAATTAAACTACGCCGCACACACACATACACTCACAAACATATATATATATATATATATATATATATATATATATATATATATATATATATGTGTGTGTGTGTGTTTTCTATATATATTATATATGTGGAGGTACTAGGAAGGTTTTGAAAGTTTTAAGAAATAAGAGAAAAAGAAGAAAAAGTTTGAAAGAATTAATGCATAGAGAAAATGAAAAGACTGTCAGAATAAGAAATGAAAAAATATCTGAAAGAAAGAGAAAAAGTGAAGATTTCGAAAGATGAATGAAAGAGAAAAAGAATATGAAATTCTCTTGAAGAAAAAGGAAGAAGAAAAATTTTCAAACATGAAAGAAAGAAATGAAAAAATAGGGATAATAAAAAAGAAATAAAAGAGGAAAGATAAAAAAGAAAATGGAAGACGAAAACTCATCAAGAAAGAGAAAGAAAGAAAAATTTGAAAGTGGACATAAAAAAAGAAAAGAAGAGAATGAGCAATATATAAATAATAATCATAATGAAGAAATAAAGAAAGAAAGAAAGAAAGAAACACAGAAGTAAAGAGAAAGAAAAAAGAAATAAAGAAATTTATAGGTAATACAGTAAAAAAGAGAAAAGTACTGAGAAAGAAAGAAAGAAAGAAAGAAAGAAAGAAAGAAAGAAAAAGAAAGAGGATCAAGAATGAAAGAGAAAAAGAGAAAAAAATTTAATATGAATAATGTATATTTAAAAAAAGAAAGAAGGAGCAAGTATAAAAAGAAAAAAAGATAGCTTCGGAATGAGATTGAAGAAAGAAAGAAAAAAGAAAGAAAGAAAGAAAGAAAGAAAGAAAGAAAAAAAAAAACATTATGAATAATGAAAGCGAAAAGAGGAAGAAATTTTTAAATGAAAAAGGGATATTAAAAAAAGAAAGAAAGAAAGAGCGAATATAAAAAAAAAGAAAAAGATTGGTTAGGAATTAAGATGACAAAACAAAGAAAGAAAAATAAAGACATTTAGAAGTAAAACTGTAAAAAGAACAGCGAAAGAAAGAAAGAAAGAAAGAAAGAAAAAGAGAAGTAAAGAGAAAGAAAAAAGAAAGAAAGAAATTTATAGGTAATATGAAAAAAAAAGAGAAAAGTACTGAGAAAAAAAAGAAAGAAAGAAAAGAAAGAAAGAAAGAAAGAAAGAAAGAAAAAGAAAGAGGATCAAGAATGAAAGAGAAAAAGAGAAAAAAAATTAAAATGAATAATGTATATTTAAAAAAGAAAGAAGGAGCAAGTATAAAAAAAAAAAAAAAGCTTCACAAGAAGATTGAAGAAATGAAAGAAAGAAGAAAGAAAGAAAAGAAAGAAAGAAAGAAAGAAAGAAACATTATGAATAATGAAAGCGAAAAAAAGAGGAAGAAATTTTAAATGAAAAAGGGATATTAAAAAAAGAAAGAAAGAAAGAGCGAATATAAAAAAAGAAAAAGATTGCTTAGGAATTAAGACATTTAGAAGTAAAACTGTAAAAAGAACAGCGAAAGAAAGAAAGAAAGAAAGAAAGAAAGAAAGAAAGAAAGAAAGAAAGAGAGAAGTAAAGAGAAAGAAAAAAGAAATAAAGAAATTTATAGCTAATACAGTAAAAAAGAGAAAAGTACTGAGAAAGAAAGAAAGAAAGAAAGAAAGAAAGAAAAAGAAAGAGGATCAAGAATGAAAGAGAAAAAGAGAAAAAAATTTAAAATGAATAATGCATATTTAAAAAAAGAAAGAAGGAGCAAGTATAAAAAGAAAAAAAGATAGCTTCGGAATGAGATTGAAGAAAGAAAGAAAGAAAGAAAGAAAGAAAGAAAGAAAGAAAGAAAGAAAAAAGACATTATGAATAATGAAAGCGAAAAGAGGAAGAAATTTTTAAATGAAAAAAGGATATTAAAAAAAGAAAGAAAGAAAGTGCAAATATAAAAAAAAAGAAAAAGATTGCTTAGGAATTAAGATGACAAAAGAAAGAAAGAAGATATAAAGAAAATTAGAAGTAAAACTGTAAAAAGAACAGCGAAAGAAAGAAAGAAAGAAAGAAAGAAAGAAAGAAAAAGAAAGAAAGAAAGAAAGAGAGAAGTAAAGAGAAAGAAAAAAGAAATAAAGAAATTTATAGGTAATACAGTAAAAAAGAGAAAAGTACTGAGAAAGAAAGAAAGAAAGAAAGAAAGAAAGAAAGAAAGAAAGAAAGAAAGAAAAAGAAAGAGGATCAAGAATGAAAGAGAAAAAGAGAAAAAAAATTAAAATGAATAATGTATATTTAAAAAAAGAAAGAAAGAGCAAGTATAAAAAGAAAAAAAGATAAGCTTCGGAATGAGAAGAAAGAAAAAGAAAGAAAGAAGAAAAAGAAAGAAAGAAAGAAAGAAAGAAAGAAAAAAACATTATGAATAATGAAAGCGAAAAGAGGAAGAAATTTTTAAATGAAAAAGGGATATTAAAAAAAGAAAGAAAGAAAGAGCAAATATAAAAAAAAGAAAAAGATTGCTTAGGAATTAAGATGACAAAAGAAAGAAAGAAGAAATAAAGACATTTAGAAGTAAAACTGTAAAAAGAACAAAGAAAGAAAGAAAGAAAGAAAGAAAGAAAGAAAGAAAGAAAGAAAGAGAGAAGTAAAGAGAAAGAAAAAAGAAATATACAAATTTAAAAGTAAAGCAGTAAAAAGAGAAAAGTACAAAGAAAGAAAGAAAGAAAGAAAGAAAGAAAGAAAAAGAAACAGGATGAAGATTGAAAGCGAAAACGAGAAATAATATTTTTAAAAGAAGAAAAGGTATATTTAAAAAAAGAAAGAAAGAGCAAATACAAAAAGAAAAAAGGTAGCTTAGGAATTAAGATGACAAAAGAAAGAAAGAAAGGAAGAAAGAAAGATAATTCAAAGTAAAGCAGTAAAAAAGAGAAAAGTAAAAAAAAAAGAAGTAAAAAGAAAGAAAAAAGAAATAAAGAAATTTAGAAGCAAAGCAGTAAAAAAGAGAAAAAAAATGAAAATGCTATATTTAAAAAAGAAAGAAAGAGCAAGTATAAAAAGAAAAAGATAGCTTAGGAATTAAGATGACACAAGAAAAAAGTAAGAAAGAAATACGAAAAGAAGTAAATAAAAAGAGAGAAAGAAAGAGAAAGCAAGAAAGAGGGATAAACACAAAAAGAAGTGTGTAGAAAGAAAGTAAGAGAATGTAACAGTATATAAAAATATATTATGTATAAATTATGAATAAATAGGACGAATAAAAATGGAAACAAGAAAACGAAAAAAGAAAAAACATGAGAATAAGTTAAAAATAAGAATAAAGCAAAAATGTAGAAGAAGAAAGATATGGAATGGAAAATGAAAAATGATAAAGAAAGAAAGAGTAAGAATATAGATAAAAAGAATAAGAACAGAGAAAGAAAAAGAAAAAGAAATATAAAAAAACGATATTTTTTATTAATCATATGAATGAAAAATGAATCAGAGTAAAAATGAAAAAAAAACAAGAAGAATGAGATTCATGAAAGATATTCAGAGCATGAATGAAGAATGAGTAAAATGGAGAAGAGAACTCGAATAAAAAAGCAAAAGAATTGAAAAGAAAAATATTAAAAAAGTATTTAAATCAAAAAAAAAAAAAAAATGAAAGCAAAAAACCAGAAAAAATAAATAATGACAATATTTCGTTCAAGAAAAAAAAAACATTGAAGGCACAAAAATATCAAAAGCAGAAAAACAGATACGGAAAAAATATTATCGAAGAGAAAGAAAAAAAAAAGTCCCCAAAATAAAATCTCCTCCGCTATCAAGTACGAGTGAAGGAGTTTTAGGGGCAAATCAGTCTGCTATGAGGCCAGGCGAACAAGAAGAATCAGACACGGGCAAGTGATGGCGGGAAGAAGGAAAGAAAGTCCCATTGCCGGCCAAGAGTGCTATGGTTTGCAATTACCTGAATCATTATACAATTATCTGTAATCAAATTATAGTATTGTGTCAACAAATTGAATTAGAACAGTCAGTGCCACAAAGACGAGGACACATACAGGAGACAAACCGTGCCACGCCTTTGAGACAGACCGACGGGAAGTTAGAGAAGAAAGCAAGAAAAAATAATTCAAGATCTGAGGTCAATAAAGTGGGAGACAGAATCGAAAGGATGAGATAGAGAAGTGTAAGGGAAAGAGAGACAGGAAATATAGAAAATGATAAAGAGATAGAGGAAAGAAAAGGGGATTAAATAGGTTGAGAAGAGAAAGTAAGAAAGGGAGAGAGAAAGATAAAAGCAAGGGATGAAAGAAAAGAGAGGGTAGAAGAAATAGTGAGAAGGGGGAAAGAAAAGAGAAAAAAAGAAAGTGAATGAAGAGAGATAGATGAAAGGAAGGAGGCCGAAGATGAATGTATAAAGTAGAGGCCGAAAAAGAGGAGAAGTAAGGAAAAGAAAGAATGGGGATAAAAAAGAAAGAAAGAAAGAAAGAAAGAAAGAAAGTAGAGGGAACGAAAAAGATAAAAAAAGAAAGAGAGGAAAAGTAAAAATATAAAGGCAAGCTGAGAAAATAATGGTATGAAATAAAACGAAAAGGAATAAGAAAAAAAGAATATGAGAATGTACAGTGGGAAGGGATTAGAAGAAAGAAAGAAAGAAAGAAAGAAAGAAAGAAAGAATGAGCAAGTGAATGAGAGAAAGAAAGAATGGCTGCAAAGAGAGAACGTAAGAAAGAAAGAATGAAAGAAAGGAAGAATCGAAGGAAAGAAAGAAAAACAAAAAAAAAAGAAAGAATAAGCGAATAAATGAGTGAAAGAAAGCATGATTACATATTCTGAAAGAAAGTAAGAAAGAAAGAATAAATGAATGAAAGAAAGAGAGGCTGCAAGGAAAGAAAGAAAGAATAAATGAATGAATGAAAGAAAGAGAGGCTGCAAAGAAAAAAAGAAAGAAAGAATAAATGAATGAAAGAAAGAGAGACTGCAAGGAAAGAAAGAAAGAAAGAATAAATGAATGAAAGAAAGAGAGGCTGCAGAGAAAGAAAGAAAGAATAAATGAATGAAAGAATGTTTGAAAAGAAAGAAAAAGAATGAGTAAGAAAAAAGAAAGAAAGAATAAATAACAGAAACAAAGAACGGTTGCAAAGAAAGAGAGAAAATAAAAAAGGAAGAAAGAAAGAATGAATGAGACAAAGAAAGAATGGTTGGAAAGAAAGAAAACGACTAAGTACGAAAAAAGAAAGAGAGAAAGAATGGCTGCGGAGAAAGAAAGTAAGTAAGAAAGAAACAATAAATGACGGAAAGAAAGAATGGTCGTAAAGAAAGAGAGAGAGAGTAAAAAAAAAGAAAGAATGAATGACTGAGAGAAAGAAAGAATGGTTGCAAAGAAAGAAAAAGAGTAAGTGCAAAAAAAAAGAAAGATTAAATGAAAGAAAGAAAGAAAGAATGCCTGCAAAGAAAGAAAGAAAGAAAGAAAGAAAGAAAGAATATGAACGAAAGAATGGGAGAAAGAAGGGATGGTTGCAAATAAAGAAAGAAGGTAAGAAAAAAAAAGAGAAAGAAATGATGGTTGCAAAAAGGAAAGAAAGGAAGAAAGAAAGAAAGAAAATCAGAATGAGAAAATGAACGAGAGAAAGAAAGGATGGTTGCAAATAAAGAAAGAAAGTAAGAAAGAAAAGATAAATGAATGACAGAAAAAAAAGAATGCTTGCAAAGAAAGGAAGAAAGTGATAAAAAGGAAGAAAGAATAAATAAATGAGAGAGAAAAAGAATAATTACAAAGAAAAAAGAAAGAAAAAAAATACGTGAAAATTGAAAATAGATTGATCCAAGAAAAATAAGATAACGCGAATTAAAATATATTGAATTAAAAAAATTAAATTAAAGAAAATAAGGACACAGAATTAAAATAACGAGAAAGTTTGAAAGAAAAAAGAAGGAAGAGAAAATTCAGAAGGAAAAAATAGAAAGCGTCGTGGTTTAGTAAATAGCATTGAACCTATTTTGTATATAATACTTAAATTTTGTACTTATGTGTACTTAATATATTTGTATATATTAAGTAGAAGAGCTATAAAGTGTACAGGAATCCCGAGATTTGTGGAGTTAATTTGTAAATCTATAACTATTAAAAAAAAAAAGAAAATCAATTTTCAATTCCTATGGTTAAACTGAAGAATGCTTTACCTCACTAATCGAGTATTATGTTTGAACTAATCGAATTTTGGTATATAAAGATTTTAGCGCAAATAATCGAAAAAGCATTAATCGAATGCGCATTAATCCATGGAAGCCTGTATACTAAACTAAGAGACAGGTTAGTGTTGACTGCTGATCATGTGTCGTAGAACAGCAATATAACAATATGGCGTCGCCAATAGGAAGTTTAAGTCGCTTGGATGAACCAGAATTTGTCAGGATTTTTATCCGGTGTCTTGCTGCCCAGGCTAGGTTGTGAATCTCTAATGAAAATTTCTCTTATGGCATTCCTCAAATAATTACTTTGTCGAAATTTCAGAAATTGTAAAATTAATTTTACGACCTAAAAAGAAACTTGAAATAGCGAAAAAAAAAACAAAAACAAATTTCTCTCCATTAAACAGAAAACAGATGAATCAATCATAAAATATCTTTACAGATTAAAAGAAGCTGCGAATTTGAGAAACTTGAAACTCAAGATTTGGATATTGACGACGAAATGATTCAGCTACAGTTGATTAAAGGAATGGCTGGTACATTTAATAATTATAAGATACGAGCAGCCATACCAAGTTGGTCGATCAGAAAAAGCGTTCAATTAGAATGGAGCAAAAACAGCATCATGTTTAAATGTAATAAAGTCTATCTTCTTCAATTACTTTAAAGTAATTTCATTAAAAAACATTTTGAATTAATGTAGTTACTGATATAACAGAAGTCGTCTGTATTTATTCAATCGAAGTTAGCCGAGGACATGAAGGGGTAAAGCAGGCAACATGAAGACCCACTTCAGACCAAAATTATTTTGGAGTTTTTGAAATTCAGTTTGTCAATGTGCTACCAGGGATGTAAAAGAGGATACATTTATAAAGCAACTGTAATGTTTGATAAAAATTGGTTTAAAGATCAATGAAAAATAAGAAAGAAACCAGTAAAAATCGTCATTTTTCGCTATTTACGCGGCTTTTCACTATAATGGGTGAACTCAATTATCAAGTTAAATGACTATTAAAAATCAACTTATTGTTAGCTATAATTGGGTGAAGTTTGTATTAGATTGTTTGAAAATTGAGGGAGTTTTTAGTTTAAAATTTGTATGGAAATCGATTTTTCGTTCTTCGCCGTTTTTCAGTTAACACAGGGGTGTAGAAGTAAAAATGAGCTCGTCATGATGAAAGTAATCTACATACCGAGTTTGAACGAAATCAGAGGAAAAATGTTGAATTTATCGATTTTTGTTCGGCTTTATTAATTACTGATTTTTAAAAATTATCGATTATCTCTTACATTGTACAATGTAGGTGCCAAGTTTGCTCAAAATCGGCTGGATGGATTTCGAGTCAAAAAGATATAACACAGACAGACAGACACGCATACATAAATATATATATATATATATATATATATATATATATATATATATATATATATATATATATCGACTCTCCCGTCGAGATTCGACGTATGAGGGTCAAGCAGATCAGTTTCCAGGAAACCGACAGCCCGACAACAGCACATATGATTTGATTATAGTGGTGAAGGCCTCGTGCAGGACCATCCACACTTTTTGAAGGGACGAATACAGAGACCTGGTGCACTAAGTGCCACAAGGTCCCCAAACGACCCCCCGCAGGTTTTGAATTCAGAGTTGTCCTTCTCCTAGACCAGTTGCCATCAAAGGCTATAGAACCCAGTCTGTCCTGCTATTTTACCCAGAGGAAGAGGATTCATACCTTTCCCAAGGGTATTAGCACGTAAGTGAATGTAATGTATTCGACTGGAATTCGAACTCGTTATTTTCAAATTAAGCATGTACATTTACATCGAAATATAACTATTCGGTAATTTTTTATTACATATTTAGCGCGGGTCTTAAAAAGCAAATTACCCGACTAAACAATTTTTGACAAAGGGGACTACGCTCATGGAATACAGAAACGGAACTCTGGTCGCGTGTTTATATGGACCATGCAAACATTAATGGCATGGGGCTATTTTTAATTTTAGTAGACTCAGTTAATGATAGAAAAACGACTACAGGAAAATAAATACTTTGGGTGGTATTTTCTTGAAATGGGATTCCTAAAACATTGGTACCAAACAAGGCACCAGAATTTTCTGATGGATATCTTTGTAAGAGAATGTAAATCTTTGATTCAAAATCGCAGCGAATTAAGCGGAGAATACGATTCTATCTTCTCCAGAAACATCTATGCCAATGCATAGTTTACGGATATTAAAGAAAAAAGGAAGCTGTAGAGGACCGTCTACCTTCTAAAAAGACATGGTATTTAAGTATTAGAAAGAACTAGCAGCATGGCCCGGCGTTGCCCGTGCTTGATTCAAAAATCGTACGACTCATACAACAATCGCTATCACTTGACTTAAAATATTTTTGCCCTTCCTTGTCTTTATAGGAGTGCCCTTTGCCGTGCTGATGTTGCTACATGCCTTACTTCTTGCCTATCTCGCACTGCGATTTTTTTCTAAGCTCTATACTAAACATTAAATATGTTACGAAAAAAGAACTAAACAAAATGAACAAAAAAAGATCAGATTTAAAAAAGGACTCGTAACTGGAAAAACCGAATGAAAAATGAATGTTAACAACAAATACATATTCACACCCAACCCAGTTCTACGGAATCAGAATCAACGTTGTGTTTAAGCAAGCGAATGAGCCAATTTGAATAAAGTGCCATGAGGATTTAGATTTTTCCCATTTGCGACGAATGCAGCTTTCGATATTTTTTTTGCATGCTAGCATGCTAGTTAACATTCGTGTCAGTCAGTTGTTGGCTCTCACGCTGGCCAATATATTCTTCTTGCGTATTCGTGGCAGCCAACTATAGGCTCTCACTCTGGCCAGTACAAAATGGCCGCAAACTACATGAAAACTGCCGTAGAAGCATGAAAAAAATCGATTATTTCCACTATCGATGGGAGTTGGGAAATGCAAAGTCGGTGTTGGCCTTCCCATTAACTTGGAGCATGTGCATGTAAATTTTTGATGCAAATCCGTCGAAAATTGCGACCGTGCATTCGTTACACACACACACACACACACACACACACACACACATACACATCCTGCCTTTTATAGATAGATACGTGTTTCGTGTCAATGTATCTACGTGAGGCGTGTATGTGATGTAACTGTTTACTTAAGTTTGCTTTTGAGTCTGCCACCCAGTGAGGATCGAACTCACTACTCAGTAGTTATCGTCAATCATTAACTTGTTAATCATTACATCATGCCAAGGTGCGTGTTTAGAGAATGAGAACAAAATTCAAAATCCCAGAGAATTAAATAGAAAACACCCCAGTGTCTTCCCCAAGAACAAGTATAGGTTTACGGATATTAAAAAAGGAAGCCGTAGAGAGCCATGAACTTCGGCTCCCTGAAGAGAAGTAGTAGCAGGAGTGTAAGTTGGCGTTTTAATATGCGTTTGCAATGTGTTTGTGTGTGTTCATCTGTGTCAGCTTATATTTACTCTAAAAATAAAAAAAAATTAGTGAGGATATAACTTCACTCTGTTGAAAATGGTTAACCATTAAATTGTTAACCATTAAACGTATGAATTATAAAGAGGAATCCCTTTTTTTCTTTCCCAAAGACGGCTGCGTAATTCGAAAATGGTTAATGGTTCCTTTTTTTGTCTCGACTTAATCAATTACGGCTTTTAGTGAGTTCGAGTTTTGCTAGGTGTTACATTTTTGGCCTTTTTGCCAATAAATTTACTTTCCTTAAGCTTAGAAAATCCTTTTCTTGGGCCCTTCGACGTAAATTGTAATGGTTTCTCAAGCATAAATTGGATTTTTAGATCAAGTACGACTCTCTTAGAAAAGTTCGATCCTCAAAATAGGGAAAAAATAAACAATGGGTGCAGTCTTTTTCTAAGCTGGGCTTAGAAAATCCGTTTTTGGACCCTTCAGTGATTGGTGTAATAGTTAATTTGGTTTCTTGTTAGATTAAATACGACGGATTAGTGAACTCGATCCTTAAGCCTGGGTGCTAAAACTTTCGGCCTTGTGCCACGTCTATGCTATGCTTAGAAAATCATTTTTGGGCAATTTGACGTGGTATAATCTTCACGTGATTTCTTTTACATACGGAAAAGACACCGACTTAATAGACACATGTGGAATTGTGCTAGAACAATTACGACTGATTAGTGAACTCGATCCTCACTGGGTGCCCCATACTGTCGGCCTTGTGCCACATCTAAACTCAACTTAGAAAATTACTTTTTGGATAATGGTGAGTCTCAAAGCTGAATCTTGAGAGATCAATTACGACTGATTAGTGAGTTCGATCCTCATTGGTGACCTTGTATTTTCGGCCTTGAGCCACATCTAAACTCAACTTAGAAACTTACTTTTGGAGTAATGGTTACCTTTTCATTTTGTGAGATCAATTACGACTGATTAGTGAGTTCGATCCTCACTGGGTGCCCATGTATTTTCGGCCTTGAGCCACATCGAAACTCAGCTTAGAAACTCTATTTTTGGATAATGGTTACCAAGAATTTTCTTGTGAGATCAATTACGACTGATTAGTGAGTTCGATCCTCACTGGGTGACCCGTATTTTCGTAATTGAGCCACATTTAAACTCAGCTTTGAAACTTACTTTTTGGGTAATGGTTAAAGCTTTTATTTTGTAAGATCAATTACGACTGATTAGTGAGTTCGATCCTCACAGACAGATTTTCGGCCTTGAGCCACATCTAAACTCAACTTAGAAACTTACTTTTGGCGTAATGGTTAGCAAGCTTCTCTTGTGAGATCAATTA